AAAACTTTTATACAAATCATAAGTAATTATATGTTAGAATTTATCAAAGAATTAATGTAATAGACTTACTTTTGCACCATTAAGTTCTAGTCATGATGTTTAGCTATCATTTGACTTATCCCTTTTATTATTGTCAGTAATTGTAACGCCCACAAAATAACATAATAAATCCAACTCATGAACAGAAGGATAACAGAAATAAAATACTTTCATTCATCAGAGTTTGTATTACAAAAGATAACACATGCATTATACATTCATAAATGTTCATCCTGAATCTATAACATGTAATACCAATTAATGATCAACAAAACAAATGCCCTATGAGCTTACATCTTTTCAAGATATTGCTTGGTTACAACAAAAGAGAGTCATAAGCTGTATACAAATAAAGCCCTCGGCTTGAATAAGCATTAAACACAAACAACAAAATAAAGCCTCCAGCTCCCAGATCCTCCCAAGCTACGTCCTTGGAGGAAACATGTCACCAGTACTTGAAAATGGTTTTCCAAGTAGGGTGAGTCAAAGCCTAGTAGAAACAATCTATCACAATATATGAGGTTTAACGAAAACATAAGTGTCAAGTGTATATTTAACATTTATGACAAAACACACATTCTCCAATAAATATTGTAATCTTTTTAGGGCAAAACTTTCCATTTTTCCAAAAATCAACCCAAGTTCCAAAATCAACAATTTTGACACAACACCACCTTATTTCCAAACTCCATAACCATTTAATTTCCATTCATCAAAACCCTCTTTTATTTCCTAACCAAACCCTAGGTTTGTTCAAATTACTCCGAAATCCCACCGTTCTTACACAATGACAAATAACTAAGTTAAAGATCATATGAAAGTGTAGAAGATCCCTACCTCAAAGAGAGAAGATAAGCCAAGCAAAGGTAGAACTTCAAAGATGCCCAAACCCAACTCTATTCGGATCAAAATGTAGATCTTGAGATGCTTTATCTTTTTAACAAAGGTGAATGGGTGGAGAAACCACTAGAACTAGGTGAAAATGTAAAGAGAGAGAGTGTTTTAGAGAGAGAGAGTCTCAACCTTAGGTTTTGGGATGAAAAGATCTAAAAAAGTGACGTAAAAAGTCATTTTCGCGATCTGATGTACGCACAATCCGCTCGAGTGTAAAAGTTGACACTCGAGCATCAGACACAATAAGTTGTTCTGCTCGAGCGCAGAATACTCGCATCCAATACTTTTGCTGGCAACAGACAAACCGTTTGAGTGCAAGAAGAGCCACTCAAGCGCCCACCCGCTCGAGCGTAAGAAATGTCGCTCAAGTGTAGAAAACATCCCTCCAATACTTTTGCAGACGTGCAAAATACTGAGAGTTTGCAAATCCCACTTGAGCACAAGAAACGCCGCTCGAGTGGAGGACCAAAATTCTAGGGAACACCAAGTTTGAAAACCAAGCAACCAACCTGTTCCAAACACACTCAACACGCCCAAATAACCAAATTTAAGGAGGAATAAAGAGTAACAGACAATGAACAACATTCAGAAATCATAAACCCGAGTTCAGACTATCACAAGTGTCGGGTCAAAACTTGGATCGCTATAACCTTCCCCCCTTAAAGAATTTCGTTCCCGAAATTTCAAATTAAGTTTTAATACACAGCTAAAACTAATTACGACAACGATAATCATTCAATTCCATTACCGTGACCCATTCACCGGTCATCCATTTTAAGCAACAAGTTAAATAATATCTCAATGCTGAATATACAATTCATACTTTCCCAAATCATGTGCAACGTTTAATCAAAATCCAAGTTCTTTTTCTAAAATTTATACGGCATATACAATGCTCCCAAAAGTGATACAATCATACATAATATTTCATATTCTTAAAACATACGCAATGCTTATATTGAACTCATAATTCCAAACTCCCATAACATATACAATGTTCTCATAATTTAAAATATATACAACGTTATTACATTTCTTTAACATAATCAATATCTCAATACATGCTCAAGCCTCAACAAGCAAGTCCGGATATTTTTCTCGGACTTCCAATTCACACTCCCAAGTCGCTTCCTCGACCCCGTGATGTTTCCATAATACTTTTACCAAAGGAATTGTCTTGCCTCGCAAGACTTGGTCCCAGGTATCCAAGACTCTCACCGGTCTCTCTTCATACGAGACGTCCTCGTCTACCTCTAAGTCGGTCCAATTCAACACATGCGATGGATCCGGCTCATACTTCCGGCGCATACTAATATGAAATACATAGTAGACCCCGGAAAGTTGTGGTGGCAATGCCAAATGGTAAGCTACCTCTCCGATCTGCTCAAGGAGCTCAAAAGGCCCAATAAATCGAGGAGACAACTTTCCATTCTTTCCAAACCTCATCAAACCCTTTCGAGGTGATATTTTCAAGAACACATGGACCCCTACCTCAAAAGACAAGGGCTTCCTCCTACGATCGGCATAACTCTTTTGGCAACTTTAGGCCGTAACCAACCTCTTACGGATAAATGCAACTTTCTCAGTCGTTTCTCGAACCAACTCCGGGCCTAACATAGGTGCATCACCCACTACAACAAAAAAGGCATTTGGTGACAGACTGATTGTCTCCAAACATCAAATTTTCGTCACCAAAGTGATTTGTGACGAAAAAATTGTCACCACGTTTGTCGCTGAAAGTACCTGGTAACAAAAAATAGTTTCGTCGCCTATTTTTCATTTTTGGCGATGAAATTTTTCATCTCCAAATGTTGCATTTTCCGTCCTCTATAACATCAATTTTGTCACTAGAATTAGATAATATTTTTATTTTAATTGTTTTGGTGACGAAATATTTCATCACCAAATAGGTTTTAGTGACAATTTGTCCTCACTAATGATATAGATTAAGGTGACAAAAAAATTCATCACTAAAATGAGTACAAAAAAAAAATTCTTCAATGACAAAAAATATTTTGTCACAAAATATTTCAATTTAACGACGAAATATTCAGCAAATGTGACGAAATTATTTGTTTGGTACTATATCATTAGTGACAAAATTATTCATGTTGTTTGAAAACTAATATTGACATTTTTTTTTCGTCGCTAATAATAATTAAAAAAAATTAAAATAGGGGTAATATTTTCAATTTAAAACTTTTCTTCACACTAAAAATTTCATGTGCATTTCAATAACCTATTCAATAAAATATCTATTACAAATCAATACAAAAAATCTGTTCATTTTCATAAACACCATAGTCGAATTTCAGCGTAATATCAACAAAAATACAATATCAACTGCATGCGGATTACCAAACCTGTCTCATAATATCAACAAAAAACATGTCTACTAATATCCACAAAAATACAATATCAACCGCATGCGGATTACCAAACACGTCTCCTAATATCCACAAAAAAACATGTCTACTAACATCCACAAAAATATAATATCAAGTGCAGATGACCAAACATGTCCTGTAATACCCACAAAAGTATAAAATTTACAATGCAACCAAAATACATGTAAGGTAAAATGAACAAAAACACAAACACAAAATGAGCAAGCTTCTGCTCTCCAGATTACCAAACATGTCCATATCTAATCTCCAATCTGCAACAAAGACTTAGTTTTCAAACCGGGAGTCCCGTGCTAGTTCCGTAAGTTTCCAAAACTTACATTGGTCCCTTCCAAGGTGTTTAAGGTGTTCTCCAAGCCTTCTCATGACAATTACACAATTTTGGCCCCATATGGCTTATTTTCAAGCTTAAATGTGAGAAAAGTGTATTTTTCGACTTAGTTTTCAACCGGGAGTCCCACGCTAGTTCTGTAAGTTTTCACCACTTACATTGGTCCCTCTCGAGGTGTTTTAGGTGTTCCCTGGGCCTTCTCGTGACTGTTACACGATTTTGGCCCCCCGATGGCCTATATTCAATCTTAAGTGTTGGAAAAGTGCATTTTTTTACTTAGTTTTCAAACCAGGAGTCTCATGCTAGTTCCATAAGTTTTCATAACTTACATTGGTCCCTCCTGAGGTGTTTGAGGCATTCCCCGGGCTTTCTCCTCGCTACTATATGATTTTGACCCCCCGATGGCCTATTTTCAAGCTTAAGTGTTTGAAAAATGCATTTTTCGACTTAGTTTTCAAAATTGGGAGTCTCATGCTAATTCCGTAAGTTTCCACAACTTACATTGGTCCCTCCCGAGCTGTTCAAGGTGTTCCCGGGCCTGCTCATGGCTGTTCCACAATTTTGGAGCCCGATGGCATATTTTCAAGCGTAAGTGTTGGAAAAGTGCATTTTTCTACTTAGTTTGCAAACAAAGAGTTCCGTGCTAGTTCTGTAAATTTTTAAAACTTACATTGGTTTCTCTCGTGTTGTTATCACGATAATTTCTCATTGCCGAGTGTGAAGTCAATTTCTCAAGGAAGTGCAAAAATATCAATAACAACAAAGACGTAGATAGATAGTTTATTTTAGATGTTTACAACATCATTAATTTCAAGTTAGGATACTTCCCCATCTCACTGTTATAAATATATTAGTAAATTACAAATTTTCATAGAGTTATATTTGGATGGAGGCTTTGAACCACAGCAAGCAAGTTCGGTGTATCTTGATTCAGATCATGGTCATCTGAACTCAAAAATGAAACAAAAACAACAAAGAAAAACTTGTTTTGACTTGTATTAACCAAATGCTGCATAGACATAGAATAGTCATCTATTGTTTAATTTATGATAAAAGGTTAGATATCAGCATTAACCTCATGGTACAATAGGATATAACTAGCATATAGCTCTAAAAGGTACACATTGAAGGAAATATGATAAAAGTTAAATCCCAGTTAGCAGTAATTACTGTAGAAGCTGGAAATTTGGTCAAATCAACAAGCCCAAACCCCTTTAAGACAGAGGTCTTGAGTACAGCACAATTAATATTTCAACAATTGTCTAGTAAAAAGCTAATAGCCTCACTACTCTACTCTAGGATCCTAACTCTTGCAAGATGCACGTACACAATTAAAATAAACAATAGATTCAAAATTTCTTAAATTAAAAGCCAACTGATATTTTCATGAAATCTACCAAATACTAGTCCTGCTAATTGTTTGAAATAATTCCAAATCTAACAGAACACATGGGCCAAATAAACTAACAATAAAAAGGACACACACCTGTGGTGTCAGAGATGGAGGAGCCATATCAATGGGAGAAAGAGTTGTGGCTTTGTTAGCCAACTTGTACAAGGCTATAGAACCATCAAGTTGCTGCTTTAGGTTCGTGCAACCAAGAAGACCAATTGGTAACTCTAATCCTGCACACAAGTGATATAAGCAAATGAAATCAATAGGGACAACAGTTTCAATTATGTCAAATGTCAGCCTAGAAAAAGGCATACCATTGTTATCAATGAATATTGTTCTCAGATCCTCTGCAGAACAAAGGTTGGCAAGAGCCAAAGCAACTCGTCTTTGAACAGTCTTCTCTACTATACGCATCAGATATAACAAATGGCTCAAAACCTACAAGGGAGAAATTAAGGGATTTAGATTCAAGAATGTACATAAAAAAGCACTAGAACTAAACCATAATCATATAATTTAACATCTACACACAAAAAAATGGTCACCCATCCCTAACTCTTCTCCTCTAATCTTTTCAGTGTCTTGGCTACACAATGTACTCAATAAAGTTTATAATTATAGAAACTACAAATTTCGAGACAGCATATCATATAAGAGGAACTGACAAAAACAACAAGGAAATTTTGGTATATGATAATAATGGGAAGGCACAAATATGAACCACACTCTGGGAACCTTCAGTAGTTTGGCCATCTTGTTGTTCAATATAGGCACCTATCTGAGAACAACTTTGGCCCACTTAACATGACTAGACATCAAATTTTAAAACCATGCACCTACTTAGATGCCTGCTTTTTTCTCTCTTCTTGTCACCCTGCCACCGCAAGGAGGTATCCATAGCATGGAACCACTCAACATCATTTGAACCAGAATATGGTGTCATTTTCATTTCACAAGAATCTACTAACCATAAATACAAAGTTTGTTTTTGCTTTTGTTCTTTTCACAAAAAGAATTTAAAGCAATTATAACAAAAAATATTCCCCATCTTTTTTTTTTGGTTTAGTATTCCCTATCATTGAAAAATAACTTCCATCTCCTCAGTTATGACCTACACAACCAAAGTTTTGAAAAGTTCAAAAATTCAATGGATGCATTAACTTAGACTCATAACAAGTGTGAATCCCACAACAAAGACATATATTACAAATATGAATCCCACAACAAAGACATATATTACAACACACATCAATGAGAACAATTGAGACTAACTACTTCAGACTTCAATGAGAATAGCTCACAAACACAAACATAGTTATAGATGTTCATCATAACTGCAATCAATTTACCATTTTCCTTTTGTCAATCTACTATCGTAACTGCCATTTGAAAACAAAAACTATCGAAATTCACCCATACAACAAATATAACATATCCAGGTTTTCAGTAGGTTCACTCTCAACCTCTTAAGACCATTATGGGTTTTCAGTTGGTTCACCCTTAACCTCATCCACGTGTGTGATTGTGTACATGCGTTTGTATATATATATATATATATATATCAATGTGTAGAAGATACCTGCTCATCAATTCCTATCAATTCCTGTCTAAGGCCTTTGAGAAGAGTCACCTTAAGATCAAACTCAATTACAAGATCCACAAAACTTGATACCAAAACATTCAAAGAAAAACACAGCATAACTAATAAGTGCTCAAAGAAAAACATTCACCTAAACTTAATTATATTTAACATGAAGATTACACAAAAGTTATAGCTATAACAAATCATAAGCAAGCGGTAGAAAAAAAAAAACTATTTTAATATCAAATCACATAGTTTGTTTTCCAGAATTAATGTGTTGTTGTTGGAGGATATCCACATGACTTCTGCAGATGTTGCAGAAAAACTAATAAGTGTTGCAAAAAGGAATCACAGCAGCAAAGCTTCTACAGAGGTGAAAGAACACTGCAATCAGCATGGGCTGCAGCTAGCAGAGAAATAAACCAGCCAACATAACAGCAGAACAACAACTGGGGACACAGTCAGCATAACAGCAGGAAATCCATCACAGCAGATTCGAAACAACAAAATCAGTTGCAAACAACCAGAAGCAAATGTTCACAGGCCTAAAAGAAATCTGTTCAACCACCACATATTAGACCTATGGGAAGGTTGAACAGATTCAATATACTGTTAGTTCAGATTCCAGTAAACCCCAATGACAAATTTACATTTTATAAAACAAAGTTGGGTAAAAACTTCCCACAAAATTTAGTCCTCATTCACTCAACGCTCAATACGCAACACAAAACACTCCAAACAATTTATGAGAGCTAGCCAAACACTTAACCCTTAACAAAAAAACTTCCTTACAATTAGGACCAACTTGACAACCTACAGAAAAAGAGTCAGATAAACCATGTCGTTCACCATCACTCAACCCACAGAACTGAGCCTAGTTATAGGGACTCACCATCTCAACCCTCCTCCCTACATGAGACCAGCTTGACAACCTGCAAAGCAAGATAATGAACAAGAATACATGAATATGGAGGTCTCACATCTCTCAACACCTATATATGGGCTCAAATTCCCTCATAAACAAAACACTTTCAACTCTCAAGAATCTCAATCAATACTCCTAACTGAGGTGGCTCACAATCACTCAACCTACAGCATCCCTAACTAAGTACCAACATAGCATTGCAGACAAAGGGAAAATAGGGAAAATGAGAAAATCCTATAGTTTCTCTCCTGCCAGATACAATAGACAGCACAAGTAAACATCAATTTCTTCACAGTAGTGGCCAAGGAGTGGCCAGAAATTTGCCCAAATAACCAGTCCACACAGCTGCCCCAATTCACAGCAGGCCAGTGCATGTTACATTTTGTTGATTACAGTTTGACACTACTACCTTAAATGATAAACAAAATTGTAATGTTTACAAAAATACCTTCACTACAGCTCATCTTTTCCAAGTTCCTGCTGGGCAAGTTTATCCCGATTCTTCTGAATAAAGTCAATTGTATCCTCTTTGGTAAGTTCCCCATTGTACTGCAATAGATTTCCACCTGCTGACCTGAAGTACAATGTTGGATAACCTTTCACGTCGAAAATATCAATTGGTACATCATTTGCTGTGGCATCCTACAAAGTACAAAATGGTGAAAGCAATTCAGGAATAAAATTTGTAACAAATAAATGGATCAATATCTACGCAGATGAAACCAGTAAGTTGTAATCAAACCAATGCTTTCAATGCGGTAAAGAAATCCCATGGTATGGGTGCAGAAAAAATCATAACCGAAGATACAAATAAGAAAATCATATCAATAATTAGAAAGCAGAATGTAGATTAATGGATGAGAAATAAACCAACATAGATGAGCCAAAATATCAAGTTAGGATTAATTAAAAATAATTTTTACTATATATTGTTCTAAAAGCCAGAAGGAAAAGAATTTTACTCTTCAGCTTTAGAAGCCATAGATGAACAGTACATGAACTGCAACCTAGAAATGACGGAAGAAAATGATTTCAATTTGCAAGGCAAAAATAACATTAAAGGAAAGGTACTTTGAGAGTAATATTGAAACATAATTCAGGTGCACAATATTTGTAGAAAATAACCGTCTATACTGACAAAGCAACAAATCTCTTCAAGTAGTCTTTAGCTAGTTTGGGTTATAGATCTTACAATCTTTGCAATGACAACATCAGCATCACTTTCAAGTGAAACACCAACTTCATCCAAGATTGGAGCCAAGTTTTGGCAGTGACCGCACCAGGGTGCATAAAATTCCAACGGAACTTTGTAACAAAACCTAACCACATATCAGCATGAATTGACTGATAACTTGACAATCATTAAGATCTAATAAATTTTTCTTGGTTTCTAAACTCTAAATTAATTATACAAAAACAATCAATGTATTCATCAAAATTACACTTTATGATATCATTACTCATTGTCATGTTAGGCAAAAAGAAGCAAAAAAATTAAGAGACTGTCTGCACCCCAGAATAAGAAATTCCCCCCCCCCCCCAAAAAAAAAAAGAGAAAAAAAAAAATACACACACACACACTTACATTTACAGAATATTATGACAGATTGACAATACACTTCCGAAGAGGCATGACCTTTAACATAGAACAGGTCAATCCAGAATTCTAATTGACATAAGGATCACATAAAAAGCCAAACACCAATCCCAAGTTACTAATATGGATATGAACAAATAAAATGTTGAAAAAACTACAGTCAATACGTACCATTTTCCCCAGAGTTGAAAACATTGTCCTAAAGTCTGTCAGCAACAATAAATTAATCATTATTTATAACTACATAGTAGTTGAAAAAGATTTATTATTAAGAAAATAAAAATAAATTCAGTAATATATACAACCTATATGGAAAGTCATATTCATTAAAAAGATTTAATTAACACAACACTGACATACCGAAATTTGGGTTGAAGTAATTTACTACCAC